TCTCTTCTTCAGAGTGATACAATGGCATCTTTGGCTTACAGCCTTCCGAAAATACACAAGCAGGGAGTTCCTTTAAGATTGAGTGTTAGTAACAAGGGGACTGTGATGCATAGAATTACACGTTTCTTTTGTAGACAACTAAGGAAATTGGCTGAGTATTGGAAATATTCAGTGAAGAATTCATATGAATTTGCTAGATTAATAGAATACGATGATACTTTGCTCTGATGTTGTTAGTCATATGACAGACGAAAGCTTAGCACCTTTTCACCGGTTCGTGGTACATTCCCGGACGTAACAGTGAAGGCTTGTTAGGAGGATATAGGAAATGTGAATAGCCCAGAGCAGAAGGAGAGATACCACAACTGCTTTGCACACGTTTAGTCAAAGTATCGGCTTCACTTGTCTCTTTTGACGAGTTGTTGTGTGGTGCTAATAATGGTGAGACTCACTAACGATGCCGACTACGATGCTGGCGAAACGTCTGGGAATGTACCACGTCCACGGTCCGACTTTGGAAATGATCATGCATACAATGACTCCGGACTAGGTGTATTCATCTAAGTCTTCCTACCAATATGACCAAGTTGCGAAAACTAGGTCAAACAAATTCTTCTAATATTTGCTTTTATCCGCCAACGCGCTGCAAATAGTGCCCTCCTATTACGAACCTAAAGCAGAGATTTATTCCTCTTGCCTTTTTCACAGACATTGGTTAAGAATCATCCAATATGAAAAATAATCGAGATTTAATGTTCAAGATAAGAATGGAAAGATGGATGATAAAATGTAATTTTCCCAAGTTTCGAATTATTTTAGAATAGCTTTAGACTCATGTCTGACCCAGTAATAGCAAACGAAAAAGATAGTGAATTACTATTTGCTTTTTCTGAAAATTCTCCTTTCCTCTCAGGTTGCCATGGGTCTGTAGTTTCTTTAGGCCAGATTACATTTCGGCCCGATGTTTGCATCTCGGAGTCAACAAATCCAAATTACCAACACTTTTTTATATCGCATCTGCTTGAGAATTTAAGAATGGAAAGCAAATGTGTATTTTTCTAGCTATAAGTGTACCGGTTATGATGTATATCTGGAAGGAATATGCACAATTATTCATATTAAATATAATTAACAATGAATATTGATTGCTTCGCAGTTCTTACCTTGAAGGTTATATGCTAAAGTCATCATGCTGATTTACCAAAATGTAGTTCGAAAATGGTTAATAATATAGAATTTCTTAAATACAATTCAGTTTAGCCAAAAAAGCTGTATTCTTGTCCATTGTAAGGTATAAATGCCCAAAGGATCTAAAAAAATTTGGGTATGCCCTAAATGATAATGCATTTTACTGTAAACTTCCTAAAATAATGTATTCTCACTCTGTAATGCAGTATGGCTTCAGCCCTGTCTACTGCTCAGCAGTTGCAGAGACTTAACACCGGGCCAAGCATGTGCAAAGAAGAGCGATTCTCCTGCCAGCAGCTTTTATTACGGTTAATTTATCTGATACGATCCAGCTTAGTCTGAAGTTTTACACTTATCATTTAGGTAACAGAATCAAATATAGATTGCGCTCCGGCAGAAAAACTGCTGAATTAAGAGGCCATTTATAACTAAGTTGCGATGGTAAATCGGCACATAAATCAATTAGGCCACTTACTTAGGTCTATGTGAAGAATAATTTTTGTAAATGTTGAATTTGCATAATTTATGAGCTGTTAACACATAAGTTTGATTGCTCTTTGGTCACTAATATTCCTTAATTAAATTATACATCCTGTATTCGCTTCCTTCTCGCTTTTTTTCACTAAAGACTTAGAGGTCCTATACGTAATGATATTGAAATATGTTTTATTTGCTTTATTTTACTTCGAACCGGCTCTAATTCGCCAGTCTCAACAAGCCACCATTCCATTTCTACTGTAGAGTCTTAGTCAACCTCTTTTAATACAGACCATTGTTTAAAAAGCGTTCTTATGTTCAGGATGAATACCGTTCATATTGCCTCATCTTCTCTCCCATTTATCAAACATCCACTCCACCCGATCTAAAAGGTTATTACCTCCATCAATATGGAGTTAGGTTGGAGCCTTATCCAGGAGTACCAGTAAAAAAGCGAGTCTCTAAAGCAGATGTTTGCCCTATTCAGCAATCGAGCCTGCGTTTGTGCGGTTCTCGAGAAAATAAAAAGGCGCATCGTTGCTACTCCACTTGTGAACCTCCTCTCCTTTCCAGTTTGATTGCGGGCTGGCAGACCACAATCGCCAAGGAAGCCAGCAGTAGCAACCACCTTCTACAGCTTCCCCAACAGCCAATGGCAGGAGCCAAACGGAACAAGAATACTTTAGTCGAACCCATTGCCCAATGCCGTATCTCTCGACCTCGTTCTCAGGCCGACGTTTCGCACACTTTAGGCCCTACAACCTCCCCAGCTTCAGGCTCGACTCCCGCCAGCCAGCCTGAGCTCATGTCTTCTGTGTCTGAGACCCCGCGTTCTGTGCGCAGTTCACCATTTGGATGGAGATTCTGCAAAGGACAGGGAGCTGTATCATTGGCCAGATCGTCTTTTATTAGCCCTTGGGGAGAGGAACAGAGAGAAGAGCACGTGATAAGCGCTGTTGCCGATGGCTGTAATAGCCGAGAAGAGTTGCAGCCATTAAAGACGGAAGAATCTAAGACGAGCACTTTGGTCTCTGAGATACCAGCGAAAACCACTGCTCAATCAATTTCTACAAGCATCAGCAGCCTGGCCCCCAATAGTCTACGGCGTCTGGTCGCAAGATATCGAGTGTCTTCGCCAACAGAGTGAGTCCGTACTTGTGAGTATGGCAACTCTGACTTTTTTAAGTTAGAGCCATATCTTGTTGCTAGGCTGAATGTGTTGGCATATATTCATATTGGGCAGGTTTTGAAACTACCGGCAGATCTTGAATAAGAGTTGTATTCACCCTAGATCGCGTAGGGTGATGAAGGAATGATAGTTAACTTTTCTCACGAGGTAGGTATCACGATTCTGATCGTCTTTATGCAGCCCAGCCGTTAGACTGATGCTTCGACCTAGTCTGGGTCCCTTCAGCATCCACAAAGGAAATCGAACCCAGGTAGTTCAGAACATAATTTCAGCCAGTTATCACCACGCACCATTGCCAGGAGATAAACGTGAATTCTAGGATTGGCCAGATCTATATTATATCGCATTATGTAGTGCGGCTGTTGATTAAACTAACTTGTATTTGTTATTACAATCTTCTACATTACTAATGGCGGAATTCAGTAGGCTTTGAAACTACCAGTAGATCTTGAATAAGGATGCATTAATATGAGTCTGTACTCATTCCCACAATTCCCCTCCATTTGGGATACTATTTTTTATAAAGATTAACCTGAGTTTCTGATAGGGGCCTATATAAGGTTAGGCAAAAATACGTAAAAAAGGAATATTTTTCTTAAGAATGCTTTATTCGGCTTAGCTAATCATTACCGTTTGTTTAAATTGATGATGATTGTTGTCTAAATTAGCATTTCTTGTTTCCCCAAAGTGCACCAACTACTGTGTGCTCGTAGCTTATATTAATAGCCAGACAGTACTTTAAAATCCTTCTAGAGTTGAGCCAAAATTGTAAAGAA